CCGGCGGAGAAGCGCAGGGCGGCGGCCGAGGCGCTGCGGCTGCTGCGGCCCAAGCAGGCACTGCGGCGCCTGGCGGTGCGCGTGGACCCAGGTGCGCCCGAGGGCGGGGGCAGGTGTCCCGGGAGAAGCCGCACTTCGGCCGGAGCTTGGGTTTTGGAAGCTCTTAATCGCTGGGAGGTTGTCCCCGGCCCACTGCGGGGCGAGAGGGGCCTCTGTCAAAGCCGCCTCTTGGCCAAGAATTGGCGCCGGCTTTCCCGCTGGGGAGCTTGATGAAAAGATTCCGGGAGCTGGACCCATCGCGCTCTTGGAGCCGCAGCATCGGTGTGTCTGTCATTCGCCGCCCAGGCTGCGGGTCTGCTGTGAGCAGCATCCTCACGTGGAGGGACAGGGATGACAGCTTCTCTTCCGCTCACCCTAGCCATCCTGGAAGATGCTGGTGCTGACATCCTGATGGAGGCCTTGGGCTCCCTGGGCTGTGAGTACCACATCGAGCCCCAGCGCCCTGCCCGGAGCCTCGGGTGGAGCAGAGTGAAGCCAGAACCTTGCCCCTGCAGTGTGAGTGCCCCAGCAGCCTCATTTCCAGGGTTTACCTAGTGCGGCCCTGGGTTGGGTGTTTTTCCGCTGTGATTTCATGAGGGGTTGCTGTAATCATGCACATAAGCTAAGAATGGGGAATGCTGAGTGGGTGATGCCCAAGCCACTGCAATGGTCAGTTGCAGACCCGGGTCCAGGGCCTGAACTCATCTGGTGCTGAGGAATGTTCCATCCCCACTCATGCTGTGGTCAGTGCTGCTGTGGTCAGTGCTCCTGCGGGCCCTATGGACCAGGGCTGGTCTTGGCCGTGGTAGGAGATCACCTTGGCTTCTGTAGATCTTTGTGGGCATGGGCGCTGGCCTGTGGCCATGAACCTCAAGGTACTGTGCTGCCCGTGCCAAGGCCCTGGGACACTTGAGGCTGAGGATGAGCAGCAGTACCCCTGGGAATCCCTGCAGGTGCCTCCTGAAGTATGGGCTGCGGGTGAGCAGGAACTTCTGCTGCTGCTGCTGGAGCCTGAGGAGTTTCTGCAGGGTGTCTTCCAGCTGACCCAGGTGCTTGGAGGGGGGCGGGGTTCCCAGCCTGGATGTGCCGTTCTGCCAGGCCTGGTTAAGGACAGAGGGGCCGAGAGGGCATGCAGTGGGTTGGGGCTCCTCTCTGTTCAGCAGCCAAGATGTGAATGAGATGAGGGAAGACAGCTGGGCTCTTGTCCTGGGAGCAGACGGGAGCCACAGCTGCTTCTAGAGGGCAGCAGCAAGGATAACGAGGGCCCTCTGGAGAGTCAGAAGCCAGAAGTGGGGAACTGGTAAGGGGGGGTCTGGGGACTTGGGCTGCGAGTTGGCTGTGCAGTTCAGCTATGAGAGCCACCAGCCCAGACCCCACCTGGCTGAAGGAACAATAGGGACTGCTCAGCTGATGCTTGTGCCAGAGGGTCATTAGGTTAGACCCTCTGTCTGAGGTTCAGCATTTATCAAGTACCTGCTGCCAGGCTGGGATGCAGAGTGGACCAAAAATGGGGGCTTTTGTAGGTCCCCTTGACCTCCTGAGAGGCACACAGCTGGTTTTCTAAAGAAAGCTGACTGGGCAGAGGAAGTCTGCTCCAGTCTCCTCCCAGCACCACTGGGTTCTTGCTCTCCTTTCTGCAAACTGGCAGTAGTCTGGTGAGCCCTGCCTACCGCAGCCCCGAGGAACAGGGGTGGTAAACCTTCTTGGCTTGCAGATCTGTGGCCCAGCCTGTTCAGTGCCCTGGATCTCTCCTGAGAGCCCCACCTGCCTTCACCTGGCTGTCATCGGGCTGGATGCCTACCTGTGGTACCAGTCACCCTCACACCCTGAGCAGGCCTGGCTGGGGTGGGGGAGTTCAGGGAAAAGATCGCGGTAGCTCTGGGGCTGCTAAACCCCTCCCTTGGGTGGGCTATGGAGGAAGCAGAACTCAAGGAGGGTGGGACCAATGGGATATGGGGAGCTGGAGGGACAGTCACCTCTGTTCAGGTCTCACCAGCCCAATGCCCAGGAGATGCAGCAGCCAGAGTGTCCAGGGGTAGCCCGTGCAGAGGTGGCGGTCGGCTGGCCTGAAGTGGAGGAGGTGAGGACAGGGCAGGTTGGATGAGGTGGTTGGCCTTGGCCCTGACAGGCTGGTCTCTGAGGTGTGATCTCAGGGTGGCCTGTGAGGCTGGTCTCAGCTAGGTGTCCCCCAGGGGAGCCCTCCTCTGAGCCATCCTCATGGGTTTGTGTCCTCCTCAGGCCCTGGTGCTCCTGCAGCTCTGGGCAAACCTGGATGTGCTGCTGGTGGCCTCCTGGCAGGAGCTGAGTCAGCACGTGTGCGCCTTCACTAAGGCCCTCGCCCAGCGCCCCTTCAAGTGCGTGACCCCCACTTCAGCTGGTGGCTGCTATTGGGAGTGTTAACAGGAACACCTGGAGGGGTAGTACTTCCCGGGCCTCTTAAGGCCAGAGGGCTGAGCTGGGGGACTGGGTGGTCAGGAGAGATGAAACCTCTAGAAATCCCCCTTTCTCTCCCCATCAGGCAGTTCCAAGAGTCCGGGACCTTTTCCTTCTGCACAGCTGGGCGCTGGATGGCAGGCGAGCGCGTGACAAAAGATGGCACAGGGCTTCGGGGGGCCTGGTGGCGACAGGTTAGGCAGTTCAACCGTGTCAGCCCGGCTGTGGCTGATGCTATTGTCACTGCCTTCCCTTCTCCCCGCCTTCTGCAGCAGGTGAGCCCCTTCCTAGACTCTCAGACAAGGAGGCCAGGACCCTGAGGCCTGCCCTGCTCATCCCTGTGCCTGCCCTAGGCGTACTTGGCCTGCAGCACTGATCAAGAGCGCCTGGCCCTCCTGGCTGATCTCCCCGTGAAGGTGGATGAAGGCGCTCGGCCCCGGAGGGTGGGGCCTGACCTTTCCCGTCGCATCTGCCTCTTCCTGACCTCCACCAACCCTGACCTCCTGCTGGATCTGAGCTCCTGACCTGCAGGGCCTTCTCCCACCAACACTGAACAGAAGGCACCCCAACAAGGAAGAGACCAGAAACCAAAGGGGTGGGGGGAGGAGAGCTCACCCAGCACAGCTGTCCCTCAGCCTGGGGAGGCTCAGCCAGGTCTGAACCCAGGGGAGGCGCAGGTAGAGGAAAGGCTCTGGGTAACGAGCAGAAGAGGAAACTCCACGTGGGGCTGGAGGCTGGGGCAAGGCCCTGCACACAGTGGCTGCAGGCCTGGGGCCAACTGGGACAGCGGGAAGTTGGGTAGCACCTAAGACCCTGCTGGGGACATGCACCAGTCACCTGGAGGCGTGGGGGTGGCACCTTCACAGAGAAGTGAGACAGAGTCTCGAGGGAGAAAAAAGAGCCAGGCTGCCCCTTCCCCAAGGGTATTGCAACACAACCAGGACCATGGGAGAAAAGGTCTTGATGTGGACTCCTTTTAATGCTACCACTATGGAGGTGTTAGGTATAAACTCAGAGTTTATTACGATCGTTTCAGTCTCAGACGGGAGGAACAACTGACAACATGCAAAGCAAGTGAGGACAAACCCAAGGTCCCCGGAGGCTGGCAGCTACAGGAAAGGTGACATCTGATGAGGCCAGACTACAGCCTCCAGGCCAGCAGACTCAGTCCAGAAGAGCTGTTGTGGCCACTCATAAGAGACTCCAAGGAGAGAAGCAGCCGCTGCCATACCCCGCACAGGAAACAGATGGATTCAGTTCTGGTCTCAGGATCCCAGGGCCTGCGGCCTCTGAACTTGTGGCAAGGCCTGACCTAGCCTCTGAGGGCAGGGGGACGGCCCAGACAGACCTTGGCCCAACTCCTCCCTCTCCTGTTACTCTGGAGCATGGCCCGAGGGAAAGGATGGAGAAAATGCTGTCCTCGCCTCAGGAGGCAGTTTTCATTGGAAAATAAGTTAGGTCCTTCGGCAGCGTTTTCTCTGGCAGCGCCGGGTCTCTGGGCTGTTGGGACTGACCGTGGCTTTGGGTGAGGGCACGGGGGACTTGTGGTGGCCACAGCTCATGCTCAGGACCCAGCCCAGCTTGTTTTGTAGCACCTGCTTGAGGCCAGGTGGCAAGGGCAGGCCCTCAAGCGTGTCCCCAGAGTTGGGCCGTAGCTGGCGCAGGCGGTGGCAACACAGGTACTGTAGGGAGGTGGCGCTGGCACAGGAGCGGATGACCTTCATGCTGCTCTTGGCCGCGGTGGAGCACACCATTGGATAGAACTTCCTGTTCTGCAGCTTTGTGGCTGCCACACCTAGAGGGGGCACAGCCTGAATCCTGGGCCAGGAGGGGGCTTAGCCATTCTTTGGACATCCTCCTGAGACAACTAGGGTGGCCCTCGTGCTGTCCCACCCTCTGGAGACCCTGGGACCTCAGGCTTCTTCAAGGATATCTTTTTGGGAAGCCTCAGGGCCACTCAGCCTGGGCCCGTCTCTGCTTCCTACAGGACCTCAGTAGCAGCCACACCCCACAGGTCTTTATCTCCCCTGGGATCCTGGACACCCTCACCTATGCACTTCCTGTTCTTAAAGAAGGTCAGTGTCCCGTGCCAGGTGTCCAGGTGCACGCCAATGATGGAGCCCTGGCCGAACCGCGAGGAGAAGCTCGTCTTGTCACCCTTGTGGTGGAGGAGCCCTAGGGGGCAGCAGGAGGCAAGGGGTTAGCCTGATGTCTGGGGCCCCCTCCCAGCATGCCTGCCCCTAGGGGCCCCACATACCTGTGTAGGAGAGGCCCCAGCTGTCCTCATCCCTGCCGAGCAGGCTGCAGAATGTGTGGTGGTACTTGTCCAGGTCCACATCCGACGTCCCAATGCCCACCATCTGGAGACAACAGGCCAGGCAGAGGGGGGCCGGGGCCAGGGCACCAGCAGAGCTCCTCCCCCCACAGCCCTGCCTGTCACTTACCATATCAGTGCCGTACACAGGTGAGGTCATCTTGATCTCCCAGAAGTGCTGCCCCTCCCCTAGTTCCTTGGTGCCTCGGATGGCCGCTGTGCCGCAGCTGTACTCTACATGGAAGTTGACCTTCCGGTTGTCACAGCTCAGCAGGGTGGCTGAGGACTTATTCAAGTCATCCCAGACCCATTCAAAATCTAGGAGAGGAGTGGGGATAAGGACACATATGTAATAACCTAATAATAAAATTAAAAAAAAATTTGGCGAGGAAAGGCCAGGTTCGGGTAGTCTCTTGAGCCCCCGCTGCGTCCTCATCTGGCCTAGCGATCTGCCCCTGCAGGCCAGTGACCCTCGCCAGGCACTTACACTCGTCTTCCTCCCCACAGCGGCAGTCCTTGCCCCGGTGCGCCGCTGTGTGCAGGCTGCTGCAGAAGGAGGCCTCGCTCTGACTGTCACAGTTGCAGAAGGACTCACCCGTCACAGGCACAGCACTGGGGATGGATGCTGGCAGGGACGAGTACTCAGGGTCAGAGTCAGAGTCACTGTGCTGAGAAAAAAGGGCAGTGTCCCCCTACTGTGCTTCTGCCCTCCACCTGCCACAGCACCCATCTTAGGCCAATGGGGGAACTGCTGATGCCCCAAGTTTAGCCTCAAAGGGATTCCCCAGGTCCCAAGGGCACAGCCGGACCATGCTTCTACAGTGCTCCCAGAGTGACCCTGCACACCTCCTGGCTCAGGTATGGGGAGGGCCCACCATGCTGCTGGGTTCCCGAGTGGGCTTAAAGGCCAACCCCATTTCTACACAGCCAAGGGGGCCCGGGAGCCCAGGCACTGATGAGCCCACAGCAGTGCTAGATGCTTGGCCGTCGTTCTGCAGCCAGTTTCTAGATCACGGGTAAGCTGGCCCCATCAAGGATGGTCTGAAGAAGGGGAGCCCTGGCAAAGTCCACTGGTGCCCTACTGAAGCCCGGGCCTCCCCACAGGCAGCAGCTGGGCTGTGGTAGTGCTGGCACATGCCTGACCGCAGTGGCTTTATCATCCTTGCAACAGGTGGTTCTTAACCCCCAACCCAGAGCCCTAAGGAGCCCAGGGGTTCATGCTGCTTCCAACTTCTGTAGTAGGAAAACATTCAGGGGGCGGGGCAGGCGGCTGTCCCTCTACCTGAGGGGCTCGGTCCTGGGCTTGATCCCAGGCTGAGCTGGTCAGGTTCTAGCAACTGCTGACCCCCCCTCTCCTGGAAGCCAGCAGGAGACGCTCTGTGCACCTAGTCGTTCCTGCTCTGAAGCCACACGGGCCCCTCTGGGTACTGCCTGACTCTGGGCCCCCGGCCTCTGCCTGCCCTGTCAGCCCTCGGGTTGGCTCAGGGTCCTGGTTAGGCTCCAGCCTCCACCCGGGTATTCCTCTCGCCTCCTTGAAACCCTTTGCAAAGCAGCCCACATACCCCCATCAGAGCTTACCTGCTCTGGCCCCTCCCCTCTCCCCCACCTGTCATGGGGGGTGGCAGCTTTCAGATATCACTCCAAGAGGCTTTTCTGGCCCTCCCCGCTGAGTCCTCTTCCTCCTCACCTGCTCCTGACAGTCTCCTCTGTCCTGTTGCTCTGACTCCTCCAACCAAAACAGCAGCTCTGCCGGGGAAAAGCCTCGTCCTTGTTTCTTCCTATTCTACCCAAGGCCCATGCAGAAGCTCATAAACCAACTGGAGAGACTAAGAGGGTTGAACCCCAATCAGAGACAGCCCCAGAAAGGAGACTGGAGGCAGGCCCAAATCACCCCATTATCAAGGAACGGTGATCTCCCAAAAGCCAAGCCAGGCACACTGCCAGCCACAGGCAGCCCCCTTTCCAGAGTCAGCAGCCAGGAGCGCAGGCCTCAGTATCGAAGGCCTGGAGGTCCACCTGGGCAGGCGGCAGGCCCAGCCCCTCGGCAAGCCAGAGGGAAGGGTGGTGTGTGTTTAGCCTTCAAGGATGCCAAGGTGACACGCCCACTGCTCGCCCACACAAATACTCCGGGCCAATTAGGTGATGGGGCAGGCTGCACACAAGCACCAGTCAAACACTTGTACCCCAGCCGCCCAACACGGCCTGCATCCCAGAGTGATGAGCCAGTGAGGGAGGGACAGACACAGGAAAACAGACTGCTCCAGGCCACATGGCCAGGACAGGAGCTGGGAGAGAGACAGGAATGCAGGCCAGGACCTTGCTGGCCTGGGCAGCGATTTTGGGGAGACTCCCAGGATTCTGTCCATTCAGAACAGTCACTTTTAATTCTCCATCAGGGCCTGGCAGTTCCACAAGGCTTAGCTGCCCCCACTCAAGGGACGAGAGGTGCCCACCCACTATCCCCAGGATGCCTGGCTGAGCCACAGAAACATGCAGAGTGCCTGTGACGGCACAGACAAGTCACCTAAAGACACCCCAGCAGGAAGCAGTGGAGGTGACTCAGGGCAGGGCCAAGCCCTTACTCTTGTCTAAGAGATTTTGGAAGAAGACTGGAAATCTATTTCCCACTACTCCCTGAAGTGGGCACAGAAACCACACCGCTCAGCTGTTCCCAGGGTCCGTACAGCCAGCCTCTGGCTGCAGAGCCCTCAGGTACACCAGGCAGCCTGCACTGAGACCAACAGCTGAGCTGCTGTTGCAACCAGAACTTGGGAACAACTGAGAGGGAGAAGGCACAAGAACTGTGGTTTCCAAGACTAAAGATCGTTTCACACACACACACACACACATACAGAGCACGCAGCTGTACAGGCAGGGGAACCGCCCAGGAGGGCAATGGAGTTAACGACAGCTTCCTTCAGAAACTGGTTATAAGAAATGGAATGGAGATATTCTGTTGAATGAACCGACCAAAGAACCAACTGCCACCCTCTTCAGTGGAAAGTGTAGAGAGAGGAATGGGGTATCTAGCCCGAGGTCCTGTCACCCCAGGGCCATGTGGATCCTTAACCAGGGTAAGCCCAGGTGAGCAGTAGGGTCCTACTGTCCTCTCCTCGGGGGCTTCTTGCAGAGGGGTCTCCACACCTTAGTCCAGCAGTACCCACCTACCTGCCCGTCAGAGTCATAGCCCCAGGTAGTGGTCCCTGCCAGAGCCATGGCCCGGGCATCTGCGTCGCGGTGGGCTGCACTCAGGACAAAATGCCATGCTCTGCTGCTCCGCGGGCGCCTGGCCATGGTGGACAGGATCTGAAAGAAAACAGGTTCTGAGCAAAGGAAACACCTGGCATGCGAAGGTCTCCCAACAACACCTGCATCTGGATGTGGCCGGCAGGGCCACATGGTGCTAAACTGAGGCTCCAGACCTCGCCTCACAGCGCCTACCTCACTCCAGTGTCCAAGCACCTTGATAAACGCTACGTAGAGAGTGTGAAAGGCCGTCCAGACACACATGGCTCTCCAATGTCTAGCTCAGTCCCACCTTCAGCTCAGCCTAGGAGCCCAGCTGGGCCGCCTGGATGTCCCGCAGGCACCTCAGACCTCACCTGGCTCCTCCTCCATTGTTGTTTGACAAATGGCATCTCCAACCTCCGGGTTCCTCATGCCAGACTCATAGCATTCACCCCCCTCCCGACTTCCTCCTTCCCCGAAGCAGCTCCGC